ACACATAAACGTTTTGACGTCTCATTTAAAAAAATGACACGAGAATTTTCTCTTTATCTTGTTGAATGAGATATGGCAAATACCGAAAATAACAGGAACATTCTGCAGTATTTAAGACGAATTGACGATAGCCCGAAATATACATTTTTGTGTGAAACATATAAAATATAACATTATATCCAAAACAACTGCGCGAAAATACCACTAAAGTGTAAGGGATAATGTTACCCATTTTCCAATTCAAAGGGTTCGCGCGTACCCTCCTGCCAGGTAACCAATCTTTGCCTCTCAGCGCCCCCTCAACTGGTTTTTCTTCGGGGGACTTCTGTCAGTCCCAAATAGAATGAGAATATCATCAATCCCAAATAACGATATCCTCCAATACTTGAGTTAACCTCGCAGTTAACCAATGGTATCGCGTGATCCATGTCAGCTTAGAGGGTGCCTTCTGAATCCGAGCTCCTTCCAAACGCATCTTCTTGGTATAGAGATCAGCAACGATTTGATTCCAAAAACGTGCATGTACGCAATATTGCAAAGGTTAAACCGGGAGCAACTCTAACAAGCGTGGTTAAGCCATTCGAATCATTCAGTGATTCGTACACATTGCTGTTGGTATTTTGAACATAGTGTGCCGAAGGAAAAATGTACACTGACTGATCTTTCATTAGTCTGGACCTCTTGCTTGAGATCACGATGAAACGAACCTTTGGTGAGTTACAGGTGAATGCATTATAACACAGTTGGAAACCCCGATATAACGAAGTGCCCGCGGGGCACTGAGAGAGAGTGTTTGTTATAACCTGACACGAGCACCCTTTATCTGGGTTTTATCCCATACGTATCACTGTGACTGGAACAATTAATATCTTTCAAGAAGGTCTTCTTTGTAAAGGTGTCTTCGTTATGTCCACCAGTTTCACTCTCATTTTTAATTTTACGTGTCCATTTTAAAAATGCATTTTCCATTGGGTCATAACTCGTACGTGCTTCCCACTTATCTTTTTCACTGTTAAGAAAAACATCAAGTTCAAAGAACAGAGGAAGAAAGAAAGAACTCAACACGAGGTAACAAACTTTATTGAAAAATTTACTTTTTAGTTAAGAAACATGAAATGAAACAGACTTCAGTTGTTGACAATGTGCATGTATAGTGCGGGCTCAGGATACTGAGATATCTATCCAATGGATAACCTGATTGTTGATTAGGGACGGAGGACTGGACCTAGCTATCGTCATTAACAATTCCCTCCTGGAGATACCTTTCTGTGATGACACTTATGACAAGTGTAGAATGTCCTTTTGCTTCACAGGGCTACTTATCTTTAAGTTAGTTTCCACATTCGGTAGTTGGAAATTTTTTATGTACTCCTTACATTCATGATGAGCGTTAGCATAAAATGGAGGTTTCATACACCGAACAATATGATGTAAGCCCGTTTCATTTCTTATATAGTGGTGATCATCACCTACTGCGGCATTCATTATCATTGCAGTGCGCAGCTATGAACGATCTTCAAGTGTTCATGCACCTAATAAATAGTATGAATCAAGGAAAATAATTAACATTGGAAACTGAACCAGTCAGCTTTACAATCTCAAAGCTATTGTGTAATATTTTATTGCTGAGACGTCATTGAGTTCCAATATATAGCTCATTCAGGCAATATTACTCAGTTCCTTTTTACGCTATATTGCTGTTTTAAGACGTTTTTTAGTTGTTCTAATTCATGATTTCATGTTGCTGAGATATTAAAATTTGTATTGCTGATTTCAACAAGTTTTCAAAAACCACAATTGCCATCTTTTTTAATCTTCTCCAAGTCTTTCAATCCGCGCCTCTTTTACACTCGCTTTTCATGTTCTAAGCGGTCTGTTATTTACATGTTTCACTCAGTTTGTGGCAGTTCCCAGCTCCTTTAACCTTTAAAGCCCAATATCCACATACAAATTCTCCAAACTGATCTCCATACATTTCCTTCATGAATGAGTTGAGAGAATTTGATAAAAGATCAAGGCATTTTCCCTTAGGTGATCATTTTCTTAATTCTCATAACCTAATCTCTTGACATTGTATGGATATCGTTAGGAGAAAATTGACGTTAGTCACTATTGGGACTTAAAGGGTTAAGAATAGGGTGGCAAATTTCAGCTGGCTCAGTATGGTGAAGAATAACCGTTATGGGGCCCAATAACATTCCGTCAACTTTAAAGCTACAAAGTACCTTCCCCTACTAATTCATTATTGTGGACATGAATATGATAGATACAATGAGCCGTACTTTCCAGTTCTGCTTAGTAGTTTTCATAGGCGTACTTTGGCGTTCGTATGAGATGTGTGGTGTTGAAACTAAAAAAGCCCTAGAACTAGTGTGTACTTATCTGTGGTACTGTTTATTATGCTGTACAAGGTGGTTCTAACTTTTTAGTCTGTGGATGAAATCCTATAATGTGATCATTAAAATGAAAGCTACTGAGCAGAACTTTCCTGTGATAATGT